CTGAGAACCCACCATGCTGTCAGTGACCATATATCTTTGTGTATTAAGAATTTCCCATGCTGTCACTGACCACGTGTCTTTGTGTATTGAGAATCCACCATGCTGACAGTGACCATCTATGGTTGTCTCTTGAAAATCCACCATGACGACAGTGACCACGTTTCTTTGTGTACTGAGAACCCACCATGCTGTCAGTGACCACGTATCTTTGTGTATTGAGAATCCACCATGCTGTCAGTGACCATGTATTTTTGTATTAAGAATTTCCCATGCTGTCACTGACCACGTATCTTTGTCTCTTGAAAATCCACAAAGCTGACAGTGACCACGTATCTTTGTGTATTCAGATTTCACCATGCTGTCAGTGACCACGTATCTTTGAGTATTAAGAATTTGTCATGCTGTCAGTGACCAAGCAGCTTTGTGTATTGAGAATCAACAATGCTAACAGTGACCCCGTATTTTTGTGTATTAAGACCACATATCTTTGTCTATTGAGAATCCACCATGGTGACAGTGACCATGTATGGTTGTCTATTGAGAATCCATCATGCTGACAGAGACCATGTATCTTTGTGTATTGAGAATCCACAATGCTGACAGTGACCATGTATGGTTGTTGATTGAGAATCCGCCATGCTTACAGAGACCACGTATCTTTGTCTATTGAGAATCCACCATGGTGACAGTGACCATGTATGGTTGTCTTTTGAGAATCAATCATGCTGACAGAGCCATGTATCGTTGTATATTGCGAATCCACCATGCCAACAGTGACCTTGTATGGTTGTCAATTGAGAACCCACCATGCTGACAGTGACCATGTATGGCTGTCTGTTCAGAATCCACCATGCCAACAGTGACCACGTATCTTTGTGTATTGAGAATCCACCATGCTGTCAGTGGTCATGTATGATGGTCTTTTGAGAATTCACTATGCTGACAGTGAACATGTATGGTTGTTTATTGAGAATCCACCATGCCGACAGTGACCACGTATCTTTGTGTATTGAGAATCCACCATGCTGTCAGTGACCATGTATGATGGTCTATTGAGAATTCACTATGCTGACAGTGAACATGTATGGTTGTTTATTGAGAATCCACCATGCCGACAGTGACCACGTATCTTTGTGTATTGAGAATCCACCATGCTGTCAGTGACCATGTATCTTTGTGTATAAAGAATCCACCATGCTGTCAGTGACCACGTATCTTTGTGTATTAAGAATTTGCCATGTTGTCAGTGCCCATGCGTCTCTGTGTATTGAGAATCCACCATGCTGTCAGTGACCATGTATCTTTGTGTATAAAGAATCCACCATGATGTCAGTGACCACGTATCTTTGTGTATAAAGAATCCACCATGTTGTCAGTGACCATGTATCTTTGTGTATAAAGAGTCCACCATGTTGTCAGTGACCACGTATCTTTGTGTATTAAGAATTTGCCATGTTGTCAGTGACCATGCATCTCTGTGTATTGAGAATTCACCATGCTGTCAGTGACCATGTATCTTTGTGTATAAAGAATCCACCATGTTGTCAGTGACCACGTATCTTTGTGTATTAAGAATTTGCCATGCTGTCTGTGACCACGTATCTTTGTGCATTGAGAATCCACCATGCTGTCAGTGACCATATGTAGTTGTGTACCGAGAATCCACCATGCTATCAGGTACCTTCTATGGTTGTGTATTGAGAATTTGCCATGCTGTCAGTGACCACGTATCTTTGTGTATTAAGAATTTGCCATGTTGTCAGTGACCATGCATCTCTGTGTATTGAGAATTCACCATGCTGTCAGTGACCATGTATCTTTGTGTATAAAGAATCCACCATGTTGTCAGTGACCACGTATCTTTGTGTATTAAGAATTTGCCATGCTGTCAGTGACCACGTATCTTTGTGCATTGAGAATCCACCATGCTGTCAGTGACCATGTGTAGTTGTGTACCGAGAATCCACCATGCTATCAGGTACCTTCTATGGTTGTGTATTGAGAATTTGCCATGCTGTCAGTGACCACGTATCTTTGTGTATTAAGAATTTGCCATGTTGTCAGTGACCACGTATCTTTGTGCATTGAGAATCCACCATGCTGTCAGTGACCATGTGTAGTTGTGTACCGAGAATCCACCATGCTATCAGGTACCTTCTATGGTTGTGTATTGAGAATTTGCCATGATGTCAGTGACCACGTATCTTTGTTTATCATATAATGGGTAGGTTTCTCGGCAGTATAAAGCCAACGTATTAAAACGATATCCGTTTGGGTCATATGCGGATAGAGATGCAAATATCAAAGGTCAAGTAAGGACTACTTTCAGTGTTTATAAACAAACATATGGCGTCGCCCTTGTCATTCGGCGATCGAGTCAGAATCTTGATAAAAGAACAGTCTAATATACTTAAAATCAATGTCCAACTGTGACGTAGCTAAGGCATTTTATAAGTTTAGGCAACTTTGGAGATTTCGAAACGATTTTGCGGGGGCACTAGGGCTAGCCAAGCGGGATCAGTAGCCATATCTGTGCGTGTAGACCTCTGTGGCTTTAAACCTTTTCCACAAATTAAAATAATTGGATTTGGCCGAAATATGTTTGAATTGTTACCTTTTTTCGTTTTGTCGCTGTGTGTACATCTGGCTGCACTTAATTTTATGACAGGACAGGCCCACTGTCAACAACGTTAGAACGTGGCCGTGACGTCTCATAGACTAGGGTTAGAGTAGCTTCCCTTTGACAAAGGGCAGTTACTCTAGCGGACAGACCGATGGATTGCCGCGGAAGTGGTTGTTTTGCGTATATGTTGCTTCGCCACTGTATAAGAAACAGATTTCAGTTGGAACTATATTGGCTACTGTCACTGTCCGACTGACACATCACTTACCCTGTGACGTAATAAATATTAATGCGCGCATTCCAGAAAATTCGGTTTCGGTAATATTTGTGAGAGATGGAAAGCGATTTTGAAGCACAGAATTAAAGAATGACATTATATGATAAAGAGGTTATCACGCTTGTGTGTTTGGGGATGGTAAATATCCTGTATTAGGAATAAATACTATGTTATAGCTCGCCTTGGCGAGCTAAATACAATGTTTATTCCTAATGCAGGATATTTACCATCCTCAAACACACTCGCGTGATAACCTCGATGTATTGAGAATCCACCATGCTATCGGTACCGTCTGTGGTTGTGTATGGAGAATCCGCCAAACTGTCAGTGACCACATATGGTTGTGTATTGAGAATCCACCATGCTGTCAGTGACCACTTATGGTTGTGTACTTAGAATCCACCAAGCTGTCTGTGACCACGTATGGTTGTCTATTGAGAATCCACCAGCCTGTCAGTGGCCATGTATGGTTGTCTATTGAGAATCCACCAACCTGTCAGGTACCTTGAGCGAATGTGTAGTAACAATTCATACAACATTATATTCCAAATAAGACCATTGATGTTATTCTGATTACTGTATATAATTAATATGTAGTGCTTACAGTGATTAATAATCGATTTTCACACAGGGTCAGTGCAAAACCACACACAATCTGCTTTTACTAAGTAATATTTATTACAATTTCAGGTTTAAATCAATAGATATACCCATTTGGAATTTGGACATACACTGAAACAGCTCCATTCCACAAACTGGTTAAATGAGCATATTGTATACCTTGCTAGAAATGCGACCATTGTGTGTATCGGTTACAACCAGTACATATACATGCGTGTCACATTGCACTTTTATAAAGCAGGTACCTTCCGCATTCTCCAGACCATTGCATTAGCATAACAAACATGTAATGTAAGAGTTACATGGGATTGTACCGGTAGTTTGGCTTGCAAAACCTTCATATTCTTATTGTCACTCAGTCGGCAATGAATTTGAATCAATCATCTTTTGAACATATCTATATTTTTAGTCTTATTGTTGTAAGAAGTTTGACAATAACACAAAATACTAAAAGCTGAAGTTCAGCTTTTGTCAATTTTAAAACCTCTTTTTTAATCAATCTCTTTTTTAAACATATTACCGTCCACTTTGGAGCAAGTTCATGGAAGGTAAAAAATTCCCCAACAGTGTCAAAAGATGGGGAGACAATCATTTTCACCAGGCAGGGGAGTTAACTGTAAAAGTCCAATTCCAAAAATACTCCCCTAATTCCAAGCTAGTTCGTCAAGGTTGGAAACTGGACTGTGTATAGTAAGTTAACTCCCTCGACTCAGTAAGAAAGGAGACAATTAACTCTCTTTGGAGTCAGTTTTCATACCGTACTTTTTTACTTCAACATTTTTGTGGGTGCATCCCTTAGAAATTTGTTGTTATTGAAACACATGTTGAATCTTTACACAAAATGACTCAAAAGAAGTTCAAGAACATGATTTTTTTCATATGACTATTGTTATCTGTCATAATTGGGGGTACAGCAGTGCACAGCCTTCCAAATCAAGGCACGGTGGGTGTTGTTATACTTGTTTTGAATAGTACACATTTCTTTGTTTGAGCAGACCACATGTGGTGTACACCGACCAGGCAATATTTGTAACATCCCTATGTCTTGTTTATTTTACTATGTCCATACAGTGTGTTTCATGCGCAGTTGTTTCTTTACTTTAGCTAAGATATTTATGTTCCCATTACTTTAGATGACTGTCATTACAAATATCAAAATAACTTGCAACCATTGTCTGGCTCACCTGACTCAAAGTCAAGTGAGATCATCTTGTAGCTTCTTTGTCAGTCATGTGTCATGCCAAGGAAACATCTACAACTTACAACTTACATTGATTTTTAGAAATATTCCAGCAATATCATGGCTGGTGACACCAGAAATGGGCTTCATACATTATACCCATGTGGGGAATATGAGGCCTTTGGTGTGACAAGTGAATGCTTTAACCATAGACTACCCCACCGCCCATAAATAAAGAAACAAAATAATGACAATTGCTCCACTTGTAAGGTTTCAAGTGAATAACAGAACCTCATGAATAATTGTGAATCTGATCAAAATTAACTTTATTGATACAGAAATACAATAAGCCTAAGTATCCTGAGGCTTTCTTCTATTGGCCGTGTCACTATAAGCCTCAGAAACAGATGTTTCTGGGAAATGTTCATGTAAAATCTCATGGCTGCAAAGCACCATGACTGGAGGGCTGCTTCAGTCGGTGAGTCTTCATATCAGCATCAATGTCATAAAAGGAGAAGTCGTTGTGACTGTAATATTCCTTAACTTTGTATGAGCTGATGTCAGGTGCTGGATCAACAGCTGAAACAAGATCAAACTCATCTACTGTGTATGTTTTTATGGGAGAGAGTTGGGTCTAAAAGACTTCACACAGTAAAGCAGTGCTCCAACAGAGCCATTCAGTACGTTATCCAAAATGCCTTTCCCAACCCATATTCAAACAGGGCATCATTCAGCAGTTACCAAATACCAGAGAAAAGAAAACGAAAGGAAACACTTGTACAAATACTAGCATATATGTACTGTGGAGAAGGCAATAGCTTAGGAAATGTAAAAGAAAAGCCTGGTGCCCAATTTTACAGCAAAGATTTTTGTTTGTTGTTGAACGCTGCCCTAGCAATATTCCACCTATATGACAGCGGTCTGTAAATAATCGAGTCTGGACCAGACAATCCAGGGATTGACATCGTGAGCATTAATCTATGCAATTGGGATATGATGACCTGCATCAACCAAAACAGCGAGCCTAACAACCTGATCAAGTTGCCTCTTACAATAAGCATGGGTTGCTGGAGATCAGTTCTAACCTGGATCTTCACAGGGTTTAAAGAAAAGAACAGAATATGGGAAACACTATCGTCTAAGTGTCAGATGCCATTTCTGCATCATTCAAGTTATAATGCTAGTAATCAATGTCACATAGGCGTGGATGGTTCTGTCTCTCTTGGATGAGTGCTTCACCTACATGAAGTGCTTATTTGTGCTATACACATATCTAGGAATTGCTCACCCCAATGTGAGTTGCTAATTTGTGCTATACACATATCTAGGAATTGCTCACCCCAATGTGAGTTGCTTATTTGTGCTATACACATATCTAGGAATTGCTCACCCCAAAGTGAGTTGCTTATTTGTGCTATACATGTATCTTGGAATTGCTCACCCCAATGTGAGTTGCTTATTTGTGCTATACATATATCCAGGAATTGCTCACCCCAAAGTGAGTTGCTTATTTGTGCTATACACATATCTAGGAATTGCTCACCCCAAAGTGAGTTGCTTATTTGTGCTATACATATATCTAGGAATTGCTCACCCCAATGTGAGTTGCTTATTTGTGCTATACACATATCCAGGAATTGCTCACCCCAATGTGAGTTGCGTATTTGTGCTATACATATATCTAGGAATTGCTCACCCCAAAGTGAGTTGCTTATTTGTGCTATACATATATCCAGGAATTGCTCACCCCAATGTGAGTTGCTTATTTGTGCTATACACATATCTAGGAATTGCTCACCCCAAAGTGAGTTGCTTATTTGTGCTATACATATATCTAGGAATTGCTCACCCCAAAGTGAGTTGCTTATTTGTGCTATACATATATCTAGGAATTGCTCACCCCAATGTGAGTTGCTTATTTGTGCTATACATATATCTAGGAATTGCTCACCCCAATGTGAGTTGCTTATTTGGGCTATACATATATCCAGGAATTGCTCACCCCAATGAGAGTTGCTTATTTGTGCTTCTCAAAACTGTTATCTGGTATAAGCTAACTTTGAGATTCTATACAAAATCCTATAGTAAAGTCAAAGTTGGAAATGACATGGTTTGATAAGGCTATGTTTTTTATCTCAAATTCGAGATAGGTTGGCAAATATATATGTATTTATATAGTGAGGTGGTCGGGACTGCAGAATAGGTTTGAGATATTGGTATATTCAAGTCAACGGGGTTCAACTACATATATAAACTGATTTCTAAAGACCTCATTTCATTTGTGTGGGTACAGTGCTTACCATCTTCAGTTTTTGTCGGTGTTGGTTGATTGGGAATGTTCGCTGATGATTGTTCCTTGGTACAATACATCATTCTGCTCATGTGCCCACACCATGCCTGGATATAATATTTCTCTCGTTTGAAGAATGAATAAGATAGAAATTATTTTCTCCTAGCGGTATGTCAATCAAGGTGATTATGTGCCCCTAGGTGGCGTGATTAAGGGGGTATATAAGGGGTAGTACAATTTTGAATTGTTCTCTCTCGCTCACTGTGCATGCACGGCCTCACACTTGTTTCGTCAATATGGATACAGAAGCTAAACTGGACGCCATTTTGCAACAGCTCAATTCAAATAAAACAGAGTTTCAAGCCTCTCTTAATGAGAAGATTGGTTCATTGAGGGAAGAGTTTATACAGACTTCAAGAGATTTAAAGAAGTTGAAAGCAGAAAAAGATTTTACATGGTCAAGAGAGGGGAATAAAATTCAATTCAACTTTAATCAGTAAAGTATAGACTGCCTCCAGAAAATTCTGGGAGATATCCAGTCTTCTCGTCTGGACGAAGCAGAAGCTTCCGTAACGTCAGAGCTCGACAGGATCAATAGAAGGAACAAGCTTATCAAAATAGCAGATACATCTGAAGGTGGGTGGGAAACGGTTAAGAACTATGTTTCTCGTGAGCTGGCGGATGATTCCGATGACGACAAACGTATCAACAGAGCTGAAAGCAAAGCTGTCCGAAAAATCAAACAGAAACGTGCCAGGCAAGCGCCGTACTCTACAAATAGGTCAAGACGTTCGGCGACTGTCACCCACCCCGTGCAAGTTGCTGTTCAACCTGGTTCTACTTTACATCATATGCAGCCAATCACAAACCAGCTTTTTCGTGGTAAAGGGCAAAGATCAGGGGCCTGTTTCGCATGTGGCGAATTCTCTCACTTCAGGAAAGACTGTCCTTACTTCGGAACAGGTCAAGGGGCGACAGCCGGCGGACAAGTTGCCTCAAGTCAGCAACGCCAGTAGTTCTGGTCAAGATTTGTCAGTTAAGTATTTTATTTTCAATGATAACTTTGTCACCAAGGATAGCAAGTTCACTGATAACTATTTTGAGTATGAACAAGGTACAGCTGAAATCTTAGTCAGGGGCCGTCTCAAAAGTAATATACAGTATTGGCGTGAGATAGGTGCATCTCAATGTGTTATTGATTGGATTGCTAATGGATATATAATTCCGTTTATTACGACCCCGCCTAAATTGCATGATAAGAATAACAAGTCTGCTATTAAACACAGAGATTTTGTCTCGCAGGCTATTGGTGAGTTGTTGAAGAAGGACCTGGTGTGCCAATGTGTTGCTCCCCCTAGTGTTGTTAGTCCTTTGTCTGTTTCAGTACAGTCGTCAGGAAAAAGACGTTTAATTCTTGATCTTAGCAGAGTTAATAAATATATCTTCAAGCAGAGTATTAAAGATTGGAAGACTGCATCGGCATATATTAATATGAATGACTGGTTGATAAAATTTGATATCCACTCAGCATACCATCATATAGATATAATTCCATCTCATACTGATTTTCTTGGTTTTGCATGGTTTAACGAAGCAGGTAGAATATGCTACTACAAATTCTTGGTTTTGCCTTTTGGTTTGACGTCTGCTCCATATGTATTTACAAAAGTCATGAGACAACTAGTCAAAAAGTGGAGGTTTGATGGCCATAAGATAGTTACCTTCCTAGACGACGGCATTCTATCTGTATCTACGGATACTGGAGCGCAGACAGCTGGGTGTGATATAAAGAGAGATCTGCTTTCTTCAGGCTTTGTTCCTAAAGTTGAGAAATCACTTTGGCTACCGTCCCAATCTCTTGAATGGCTTGGTTTTGGTATCGATACTACTTCCATGAATATGACTGTACCTCTCAGGAAGGTTGACAAGGTCAAACAAGCTATAACTAAACTGTTACAATACAAGACTAAACGTGTATCGGTTAGATCTGTAGCATCAATTGTTGGTCAATTAATTTCTATGAAATTAGTGATAGGACCAGTTGTACAACTCATGACAAGAGCTATGAGTATTGATGTTGTTGTTGCTTCATCATGGAACAGTCTTATATACTTGTCAGATACTAGCATCAAGCAGCTGATATTTTGGCATCGCAATATACATAGGTATATTTCTAGAACGATTGTGCAAACAGCATTGACAAAAAGATTGGTGTATTCGGATGCAAGCCAAAGTGGTTATGGTGGATACTGCGTGGATGTAGACTCTGTAGTATCCCATGGACAGTGGTCCAGTGATGAAATTACTCGCAGCTCTACATGGAGAGAGCTGAAAGCTGTGTGTATGGTTCTCCAAAGCTTTGTTTCAACCCTAGGTCATCAGAGAGTCAAATGGTTTACTGACAATCAAAATGTTGTATCTATTATTGAAAAAGGCAGTATGAAGCTCCATTTACAATCGCTTGCTTTGCAGATCTTTGATCTATGTTTACAGTACAGTGTTGAGCTCCATCTCCAGTGGATTCCTCGCCATGAGAACATGCAAGCTGACTATCTTAGCAAGCGTATTGATTACGATGATTGGGGCATTTCCAAAAATATTTTTCAGGAAATAGATGTGAAATGGGGACCTCATCAAGTTGATAGGCTGGCTTCATATTATAATACAAAAGTTGTCCAATTTAACTCTCGTTTCAGTAATCCTGGATGTCAGGCAGTGGACTGTTTCACTGTTAACTGGAGAGGTACAATTAGTTGGGTTGTTCCCCCTATTTGTTTGATACCGCGAGTAATCAAACACATGGCAGAGTGTCATGCAGTTGGAACGTTGGTCGTCCCAGAGTGGCATTCAGCGTGCTTTTGGCCACTGTTATATGTGAATTCTGAGCGTATTTTGCAAATCAAAGATCAAATATATTTGCCTAGGGCCAAAGAAGCGTTTGTTGCAAGCAGAATCAAAGGTGGTTTGTTCGGTGAACACGATTTACATTTTGATATGATTGCACTTTATGTGGATTTTAGGTAATATTTTGCTGTGTATTTACAGATAGCCTTCTGAATGCCTATAGTGATGAACTTGATGAACTCCCTTTGAATGTGCGCCAGTTAGCTGGACAGCTACCAGGTTTGTTGGCACGGTCCAGGGCAGAGTCTACTTATAAAAAATATAGCAATGGATTTGCTGCTTGGAAAAGGTGGGCAAACGCTAATAATATGTGTGATCAGTTGCCCGTTTCACATTTGCATTGTGCTATTTATCTGTTGTCTATTGTGCAACAGAGTGAAACAATATCACCAGTGTTAACAGCATTTTATAGTTTAAGGCATGCTCATTGTAACATTGGACTAGAGAGTCCCACTGAAAATAGCCTTGTCAAGAATGTTTTGGAAGGAGCAAAGCGCAAACTGTCTAAGCCAGTGGTTAAAAAGGAGCCAATCACAGTTGATATACTTGAACGGTTGTATGATTCAAAAATGATAAATGCATCTTTAATGGATCTGCGAATAGTATCTATGTGTTTATTAGCTTTCGCCGGATTTTTAAGATCTGCAGAATTAATTTATATATCTCGTTCTGATATTTTATTTTATAAGTCACACATGGTCATTTTTATTGAAAAGTCAAAGACGGATATATACAGGGATGGCGCATGGCTTGTTATTAGTAGGACAGATTCCAAGCTGTGTCCAGTAGCCTGTGTGGAGAGTTATTTACAAGCTGCATCTATTCATCCAGATTGTGATCAATACATATTCAGGAATGTAAGCAAATGTCGTTCAGGCTATGTTCTTAGAAAGGACAATGCTCCACTGTCTTATACCAGGTTAAGGGAACTATTTATTGATGCTTTAACTCCCTTTGTTGACAACATCAAGAAGTATGGTCTGCATAGCTTACGCAGTGGTGGTGCTACTGCAGCTGCAAATAATGGTATACCAGATCGTATGTTCAAACGACATGGTCGTTGGAGAAGCGAGAACGCTAAAGATGGTTACATCAAAGATAGTATTGATAACAGAATGAAAGTATCACTTTCCTTAGGCCTATAACTTTCTTTGTACATCTCGGCCGTGTATCATACAGCGTATTCCCATGTTAATGGTGTTGTGTCTTGATTAAGTATGTAGGGGATAAGGAGAAATAATATTTCTCTCGTTTGAAGAATGAATAAGATAGAAATTATTTTCTCCTAGCGGTATGTCAATCAAGGTGATTATGTGCCCCTAGGTGGCGTGATTAAGGGGGTATATAAGGGGTAGTACAATTTTGAATTGTTTTCTCTCGCTCACTGTGCATGCACGGCCTCACACTTGTTTCTTATATTTATTTGATGAACATGTATATTAAATTTGGTTCTTCATTTTATGATTTAATGATTTCATGTGTTGCAGAAAGTCGTTGAAATGGAATACACATTTGATGGTAATGTGTACTGTTGTAAGTGATGCCATTGCTTGGCTGGCGAGTCTTTACAATACAGCGCTGCTTCATTGAGAAAGTCCATTGTTGGATGCAGTGATGTTGCTTGGCCGGCGGGCCTTTATAATACAGCGTTGTTTTATTGTGAAAGTGTGCATTGTTAGATGCAATGATATTGCTTGGCCGGCGGGCCTTTATAATACAGCGTTACTTTATTGTGAAAGTGTGCATTGTTGGATGCAATGATATCGCTTGGCTGGCGAGCCTTTATAATACAGCATTGCTTTATTGTGAAAGTGTGCATTGTTGGATGCAATGATATTGCTTGGCCGGCGGGCCTTTATAATACAGTGTTGCTTTTGATAATACCGCATATACTATGCGAGTAGCACTGTATGTAATAAATTATGAAATTCATTTGTAACATATGTTCATGAATTGTTAGTATTTCTGTTTGGACTTGCATATACATGTCATGAGTATGCTGTATACCCTCCAGTATTTGCTGCTGCATCCGTTGAGGGAACACGGTTCCAGATGTTTTCTTATAAAAGTTTTTATATCTGGTTTTACGTGTCGGGCTTCAGCAAAACATAAATATTTATAGCAGATTGCTGACCATGTATATACAAATGTGTATAAATGAATATCTTTGTTTTATACTATACGCAAATAAATCGGCCGTGTATCACACAGCGTATTCCCATGTTAATGGTGTTGTGTCTTGATTAAGTATGTAGGGGATAAGGAGAAAAGACATTATCCATTTTAACAAAGCCATCATACATATAATCTGTTATTTCTAAAATCTGTGAATGCCTAACATGATCTAATATTGCAATGCTTTGCAGCAGCTATTTAATAGATCATGTGGAATGCATTCATCGCAGCATGAATAGGAAAAGCATGAAGTACAGGAGTTCAAAAATTTGTGCCACTGAGAGGTGGTATATTAAAGAAAGTGTCCAAATGATACTATATGCAATGTTATTACATTCAAGCTGCATGGTGTTTCAAGCATAAATGAGTGAGTGAGTTGGGTTTAACGCCGCTTTTAACAGTATTCCAGTTATATCGCGGCGTGTCAGCTTAATGTGGGAGGAAAGCCCGAAGTGATGCAGGTCTCAGATGTTCACCATTTCGGTGAAACCTACGAGCACGGGTATGGTGCTGACAAACCTAGAAACAAATTGGGGCGAGCCGGGATTCGAACCCACAATCATAGGTTTCTGGCGTGCCCAAGGGACGCAACTCTGCACAGCGAATCGCGGTGCCTTAGACGACTGGGCCACCCGTGCCCCCTCAAGCATAAATGACACACATATGGAATACAAATGTCCCACTCAATAGATTTCTAAAATATTAACTTTAGACTAATTTTCCAGAACAATGCAATCTCATTAAAATCATATCTTAGTGCTCGCTACCGCCACACAAAGATCTGAGAATATCTCGTCACAGGTTATGTCTGAACGGCCTGAACTTTGATCAGCCAATAAAATTACTAACAAGAAGCCAACATTAGCCAACCAAAAAGCTGCATTATTGAGCTTGACAGCGCTCGTTTCATACCTGCAACTTCCATTCCAGACTATGCTTTGAAAAATATTGATAGACTATGGTAAGTCTATTCCGTTTCAAACAGACACGTTGATTTACACAGGGTGAGTCGTACAGCCCGTTACTGTCATTTGGAATACCTTTGTGTTAACCTTTTTGAGGTTGCATGATTAGAAAACACATTCTAAATGTCACTTTCCAGATTTGGTAAGGGAAGTTCTGATTGGTCGAATGAAAGGTTGTTCTGACGTGACCCATAATGAGATGTCCTCAGATCCCATATCCATTGAGTGAGTGTGTGAGTGAGTATGGTTTTACGCAGCTTTTAGCAATATTCCAGCAATAGCACGGCGGGGGACACCAGAGTGAGTGAGTGAGTATGGTTTTACGCAGCTTTTAGCAATATTCCAGCAATATCACGGCGGGGGACACCAGAAATGGGCTTCACACATTGTACCCATGTCGGGAATCAAACCTGTCTCTTCGGCATGACGAGCGAACGCTTTAACCACTAGGCTACCCAACCGCCCCCCATATCTACTGATTGACAACTGGCACGTATAACAAATGACATGTATGACAAATGGGGGTAAACCATGACATGTAGTGCTTCTTGTATATATCTACTTGTATTAAAGCAAACTTGTATATATCGCACACCATCGACTCGAAGTTGTCACTCCCTATCAAGAACTGTACACCGGCCTTCTGCATATAGGAAAATGTGTGTAATCATAACCAACATCGCAAGCGTCTCGAACCCAAATGTGAAAATGTCCATTAATATAAATATTGAAAAAAGTATATGTGACGGAATTAATACTTATATTAAAAAACATTGAATTAGGTGTGATGTTCGGAAACTTCCTCATGAGGAAAGTTATAACAAGGTTCATCCCCATACTGTGCTGCACTTATAATACGTAAAGGGGCACTCAACTCTGGCCTCTACCCAGCTGTCTAACACTACCCCCTTGGGTTTATAAGCTGCCGTGAGTCGATTTCCTGGCTAATGCAACTGAACGTGACAAGAGACTAAGCCACTGTCATATATCTCATTTACCAAAAATGGTTTGTGGGTACAACTGACATTACGACTGATGACTAAACCACAAAATGAAACCCACCTTTAACCTTAGTTCAACTTGTTAAGGCAAAATCTAAAAAACACCTCAATTGCTAACTCCACCAGTACAGCACTTGCCCGATACAAAGAAATGAGAAAATATTTTATGAGTTATGCTCTCTCGAAATAATCCCTACCCTTGTTTGAAGTTCAACTTGTTGCCTTGTAAATGCAAAAGAAAATTTTAAATTCTGAACAGCACAAGGCACCTGATGTGTATACAAAGTTGTATGAAGAAATGTTGACTGGTTTATGGCCTTTGCTTCAACAACGAAATGCAACTGATTGACCAAAAACCTTCATATTCTTATTGTCACTCAGTCGGCAATGAATTTGAATCAATCATCTTTTGAACATATCTATATTTTTAGTCTTATTGTTGTAAGAAGTTTGTCAATAACACAAAATACTAAAAGCTGAAGTTCAGCTTTTGTCAATTTTAAAACCTCTTTTTTAATCAATCTCTTTTTTAAACATATTACCGTCCACTTTGGAGCAAGTTCATGGAAGGTAAAAAGTTACCCAACAGTGTCAAAAGATGGGGAGACAATCATTTTCACCAGGCAGGGGAGTTAACTGTAAAAGTCCAATTCCAAAAATACTCCCCTAATTCCAAGCTAGTTCGTCAAGGTTTGGAAACTGGACTGTGTATAGTTAGTTAACTCCCTCGACTCAGTAAGAAAGGAGACAATTTACTCTCTTTGGAGTCAGTTTTCATACCGTACTTTTTTACTTCAACATTTTTACGGGTGCATCCCTTAGAAATTTGTTGTTATTGAAACATATGTTGAATCTTTACACAAAATGACTCAAAAGAAGTTCAAGAACATGATTTTTTTCATATGACTATTGTTATCTGTCATAATTGGGGGTACAGCAGTGCACAGCCTTCCAAATCAAGGCACGGTGGGTGTTGTTATACTTGTTTTGAATAGTACACATTTCTTTGTTTGAGCAGACCACATGTGGTGTACACCGACCAGGCAATATTTGTAACATCCCTATGTCTTGTTTATTTTACTATGTCCATACAGTGTGTTTCATGCGCAGTTGTTTCTTTACTTTAGCTAAGATATTTATGTTCCCATTACTTTAGATGACTGTCATTACAAATATCAAAATAACTTGCAACCATTGTCTGGCTCACCTGACTCAAAGTCAAGTGAGATCATCTTGTAGCTTCTTTGTCAGTCATGTGTCATGCCAAGGAAACATCTACAACTTACAACTTACATTGATTTTTAGAAATATTCCAGCAATATCATGGCTGGTGACACCAGAAATGGGCTTCATACATTATACCCATGTGGGGAATCCGAGGCCTTTGGTGTGACAAGTGAATGCTTTAACCATAGACTACCCCACCGCCCATAAATAAAGAAGCAAAATGATGACAATTGCTCCACTTGTAAGGTTTCAAGTGAATAACAGAACCTCATGAATAATTGTGAATCTGATCAAAATTAACTTTATTGATACAGAAATACAATAAGCCTAAGTATCCTGAGGCTTTCTTCTATTGGCCGTGTCACTATAAGCCTCAGAAACAGATGTTTCTGGGAAATGTTCATGTAAAATCTCATGGCTGCAAAGCACCATGACTGGAGGGCTGCTTCAGTCGGTGAGTCTTCATATCAGCATCAATGTCATAAAAGGAGAAGTCGTTGTGACTGTAATATTCCTTCACCTTGTATGAGCTGATGTCAGGTGCTGGATCAACAGCTGAAACAAGATCAAACTCATCTACTGTGTATGTTTTTATGGGAGAGAGTTGGGTCTAAAAGACTTCACACAGTAAAGCAGTGCTCCAACAGAGCCATTTAGTACGTTATCCAAAATGCCTTTCCCAACCCATATTCAAACAGGGCATCATTCAGCAGTTACCAAAATACCAGAGAAAAGAAAACGAAAGGAAACACTTGTACAAATACTAGCATATATGTACTGTGGAGAAGGCAATAGCTTAGGAAATGTAAAAGAAAAGCCTGGTGCCCAATTTTACAGCAAAGATTTTTGTTTGTTGTTGAACGCTGCCCTAGCAATATTCCACCTATATGACAGCGGTCTGTAAATAATCGAGTCTGGACCAGACAATCCAGGGATTGACATCGTGAGCATTAATCTATGCAATTGGGATATGATGACCTGCATCAACCAAAACAGCGAGCCTAACAACCTGATCAAGTTGCCTCTTACAATAAGCATGGGTTGCTGGAGATCAGTTCTAACCTGGATCTTCACAGGGTTTAAAGAAAAGAACAGAATATGGGAAACACTATCGTCTAAGTGTCAGATGCCATTTCTGCATCATTCAAGTTATAATGCTAGTAATGAATGTCACATAGGCGTGGATGGTTCTGTCTCTCTTGGATGAGTGCTTCACCTACATGAAGTGCTTATTTGTGCTATACACATATCTAGGAATTGCTCACCCCAAAGTGAGTTGCTTATTTGTGCTATACATATATCTAGGAATTGCTCAACCCAATGTGAGTTGCTTATTTGTGCTATACACATATCTAGGAATTGCTCACCCCAAAGTGAGTTGCTTATTTGGGCTATACATATATCTAGGAATTGCTCACCCCAATGTGAGTTGCTTATTTGTGCTATACATATATCCAGGAATTGCTCACACCAAAGTGAGTTGCTTATTTGTGCTATACATATATCTAGGAATTGCTCAACCCAATGTGAGTTGCTTATTTGTGCTATACACATATCTAGGAATTGCTCACCCCAAAGTGAGTTGCTTATTTGTGCTATACATATATCCAGGAATTGCTCACACCAAAGTGAGTTGCTTATTTGTGCTATACATATATCTAGGAATTGCTCAACCCAATGTGAGTTGCTTATTTGTGCTATACACATATCTAGGAATTGCTCACCCCAAAGTGAGTTGCTTATTTGTGCTATACATGTATCTTGGAATTGCTCACCCCAATGTGAGTTGCTTATTTGTGCTATACATATATCTAGGAATTGCTCACCCCAAAGTGAGTTGCTTAATTGTGCTATACACATATCTAGGAATTGCTCACCCCGATGTGAGTTGCTTATTTGTGCTATACATATATCCAGGAAATGCTCACCCCAAAGTGAGTTGCTTATTTGTGCTATACATATATCTAGGAATTGCTCACCCCAAAGTGAGTTGCTTATTTGTGCTATACATATATCCAGGAATTGCTCAACCCAATGTGAGTTGCTTATTTGTGCTATACACATATCTAGGAATTGCTCACCCCAAAGTGAGTTGCTTATTTGTGCTATACATGTATCTTGGAATTGCTCACCCCAATGTGAGTTGCTTATTTGTGCTATACATATATCCAGGAATTGCTCACCCCAATGTGAGTTGCTTATTTGTGCTATACATATATCTAGGAATTGCTCACCCCAAAGTGAGTTGCTTATTTGTGCTATACACATATCTAGGAATTGCTCACCCCAAAGTGAGTTGCTTATTTGTGCTATACATATATCCAGGAATTGCTCACCCCAATGTGAGTTGCTTATTTGTGCTATACATATATCTAGGAATTGCTCACCCCAAAGTGAGTTGCTTATTTGTGCTATACACATATCTAGGAATTGCTCACCCCAAAGTGAGTTGCTTATTTGTGCTATACATATATCCAGGAATTGCTCACCCCAATGTGAGTTGCTTATTTGTGCTATACATATATCCAGGAATTGCTCACCCCAAAGTGAGTTGCTTATTTGTGCTATACACATATCTAGGAATTGCTCACCCCAAAGTGAGTTGCTTATTTGTGCTATACATATATCTAGGAATTGCTCACCCCAATGTGAGTTGCTTATTTGTGCTATACATATATCTAGGAATTGCTCACCCCAAAGTGAGTTGCTTATTTGTGCTATACATATATCTAGGAATTGCTCACCCCAATGTGAGTTGCTTATTTGTGCTATACATATATCCAGGAATTGCTCACCCCAAAGTGAGTTGCTTATTTGTGCTATACACATATCCAGGAATTGCTCACCCCAAAGTGAGTTGCTTATTTGTGCTATACATATATCTAGGAATTGCTCACCCCAAAGTGAGTTGCTTATTTGTGCTATACATATATCTAGGAATTGCTCACCCCAATGTGAGTTGCTTATTTGTGCTATACATATATCCAGGAATTGCTCACCCCAAAGTGAGTTGCTTATTTGTGCTATACACATATCCAGGAATTGCTCACCCCAAAGTGAGTTGCTTATTTGTGCTATACATATATCTAGGAATTGCTCACCCCAATGTGAGTTGCTTATTTGTGCTATACACATATCTAGGAATTGCTCACCCCAAAGTGAGTTGCTTATTTGTGCTATACATGTATCTTGGAATTGCTCACCCCAATGTGAGTTGCTTATTTGTGCTATACATATATCCAGGAATTGCTCACCCCAATGTGAGTTGCTTATTTGTGCTATACATATATCTAGGAATTGCTCACCCCAAAGTGAGTTGCTTATTTGTGCTATACACATATCTAGGAATTGCTCACCCCAAAGTGAGTTGCTTATTTGTGCTATACATATATCCAGGAATTGCTCACCCCAATGTGAGTTGCTTATTTGTGCTATACATATATCTAGGAATTGCTCACCCCAAAGTGAGTTGCTTATTTGTGCTATACACATATCTAGGAATTGCTCACCCCAAAGTGAGTTGCTTATTTGTGCTATACATATATCCAGGAATTGCTCACCCCAATGTGAGTTGCTTATTTGTGCTATACATATATCCAGGAATTGCTCACCCCAAAGTGAGTTGCTTATTTGTGCTATACACATATCTAGGAATTGCTCACCCCAAAGTGAGTTGCTTATTTGTGCTATACATATATCTAGGAATTGCTCACCCCAATGTGAGTTGCTTATTTGTGCTATACATATATCTAGGAATTGCTCACCCCAAAGTGAGTTGCTTATTTGTGCTATACATATATCTAGGAATTGCTCACCCCAATGTGAGTTGCTTATTTGTGCTATACATATATCCAGGAATTGCTCACCCCAAAGTGAGTTGCTTATTTGTGCTATACACATATCCAGGAATTGCTCACCCCAAAGTGAGTTGCTTATTTGTGCTATACATATATCTAGGAATTGCTCACCCCAAAGTGAGTTGCTTATTTGTGCTATACATATATCTAGGAATTGCTCACCCCAATGTGAGTTGCTTATTTGTGCTATACATATATCCAGGAATTGCTCACCCCAAAGTGAGTTGCTTATTTGTGCTATACACATATCCAGGAATTGCTCACCCCAAAGTGAGTTGCTTATTTGTGCTATACATATATCTAGGAATTGCTCACCCCAATGTGAGTTGCTTATTTGTGCTATACATGTATCTTGGAATTGCTCACCCCAATGTGAGTTGCTTATTTGTGCTATACATATATCCAGGAATTGCTCACCCCAATGTGAGTTGCTTATTTGTGCTATACATGTATCTTGGAATTGCTCACCCCAATGTGAGTTGCTTATTTGTGCTATACATATATCCAGGAATTGCTCACCCCAATGTGAGTTGCTTATTTGTGCTATACATATATCCAGGAATTGCTCACCCCAATGAGAGTTGCTTATTTGTGCTTCTCAAAACTGTTATCTGGTATAAGCTAACTTTGAGATTCTATACAAAATCCTATAGTAAAGTCAAAGTTGGAAATGACATGGTTTGATAAGGCTATGTTTTTTATCTCAAATTCGAGATAGGTTCGCAAATATATATGTATTTATATAGTGAGGTGGTCGGGACTGCAGAATAGGTTTGAGATATTGGTATATTCAAGTCAATGGGGTTCAACTACATATATAAACTGATTTCTAAAGACCTCATTTCATTTGTGTGGGTACAGTGCTTACCATCTTCAGTTTTTGTCGGTGTTGGTTGATTGGGAATGTTCGCTGATGATTGTTCCTTGGTACAATACATCATTCTGCTCATGTGCCCACACCATGCCTGGATAAGACATTATCCATTTTAACAAAGCCATCATACATATAATCTGTTATTTCTAAAATCTGTGAATGCCTAACATGATCTAATATTGCAATGCTTTGCAGCAGCTATTTAATAGATCATGTGGAATGCATTCATCGCAGCATGAATAGGAAAAGCATGAAGTACAGGAGTTCAAAAATTTGTGCCACTGAGAGGTGGTATATTAAAGAAAGTGTCCAAATGATACTATATGCAATGTTATTACATTCAAGCTGCATGGTGTTTCAAGCATAAATGAGTGAGTGAGTTGGGTTTAACGCCGCTTTTAACAGTATTCCAGTTATATCGCGGCGTGTCAGCTTAATGTGGGAGGAAAGCCCGAAGTGATGCAGGTCTCAGATGTTCACCATTTCGGTGAAACCAACGAGCACGGGTATGGTGCTGCCAAACCTAGAAACATAATTAGGGCGAGCCAGGATTCGAACCCACAATCATAGGTTTCTGGCGTGCCCAAGGGACGCAACTCTGCACAGCGAATCGCGGTGCCTTAGACGACTGGGCCACCCGTGCCCCCTCAAGCATAAATGACACACATATGGAATACAAATGTCCCACTCAATAGATTTCTAAAATATTAACTTTAGACTAATTTTCCAGAACGATGCAATCTCATTAAAATCATATATTAGTGCTCGCTACCGCCACACAAAGATCTGAGAATATCTCGTCACAGGTTATGTCTGAACGGCCTGAACTTTGATCAGCCAATAAAATTACTATCAAGAAGCCAACATTAGCCAATCAAAAAGCTGCATTATTGAGCTTTACAGCGCTCGTTTCATACCTGCAACTTCCATTCCAGACTATGCTTTGAAAAATATTGATAGACTATGGTAAGTCTATTCCGTTTCAAACAGACACGTTGATTTACACAGGGTGAGTCGTACAGCCCATTACTGTCATTTGGAATACCTTTGTGTTAACCTTTTTGAGGTTGCATGATTAGAAAACACATTCTAAATGTCACTTTCCAGATTTGGTAAGGGAAGTTCTGATTGGTCGAATGAAAGGTTGTTCCGACGTGACCCATAATGAGATGTCCTCAGATCCCATATCCATTGAGTGAGTGTGTGAGTGAGTATGGTTTTACGCCGCTTTTAGCAATATTCCAGCAATATCACGGCGGGGGACACCAGAGTGAGTGAGTGAGTATGGTTTTACGCAGCTTTTAGCAATATTCCAGCAATATCACGGCGGGGGACACCAGAAATGGGCTTCACACATTGTACCCATGTCGGGAATCAAACCTGTCTCTTCGGCATGACGAGCGAACGCTTTAACCACTAGGCTACCCAACCGCCCCCCATATCTACTGATTGACAACTGGCACGTATAACAAATGACATGTATGACAAACGGGGGTAAACCATGACATGTAGTGCTTCTTGTATATATCTACTTGTATAAAGCAAACTTGTATATATCGCACACCATCGACTCGAAGTTGTCACTCCCTATCAAGAACTGTACACCGGCCTTCTGCATATAGGAAAATGTGTGTAATCATAATCAACATCGCAAGCGTCTCAAACCCAAATGTGAAAATGTCCATTAATATAAATATTGAAAAAAGTATATGTGACGGAATTAATACTTATATTTAAAAACATTGAATTAGGTGTGATGTTCGGAAACTTCCTCATGAGGAAAGTTATTACAAGGTTCATCCCCATACTGTGCTGCACTTATAATACGTAAAGGGGCACTCAACTCTGGCCTCTACCCAGCTGTCTAACACTACCCCCTTGGGTTTATAAGCTGCCGTGAGTCGATTTCCTGGCTAATGCAACTGAACGTGACAAGAGACTAAGCCACTGTCATATATCTCATTTACCAAAAATGGTTTGTGGGTACAACTGACATTACGACTGATGACTAAACCACAAAATGAAACCCACCTTTAAACCTTAGTTCAACTTGTTAAGGCAAAATCTAAAAAACACCTCAATTGCTTACTCAACCAGTACAGCACTTGCCCAATACAAAGAAATGAGAAAATATTTTATGAGTTATGCTCTCTCGAAATAATCCCTACCCTTGTTTGAAGTTCAACTTGTTGCCTTGTAAATGCAAAAGAAAATTTTAAATTCTGAACAGCACAAGGCACCTGATGTGTATACAAAGTTGTATGAAGAAATATTGACTGGTTTATGGCCTTTGCTTCAACAACGAAATGCAACTGATTGACCACGTTTCTACATTCCTTGCAAAACTTCATTTGGACGGGGCCTCATGAAAACAAGCCACTACAATAAATATTTATGTACAGTCACATACTTTAGTATACAGCAAATACCTTTACATATTATTTTTACATCAATGAAGTTAAGTTAATATACTCAATACAGTATCCACCCTTATTTTTCAGGCAACTAAACTGCATATAATACAATTGGTACTGCGTTCTTGTCATCCTTGTTAAATGGAACAAGCGTATAGTTGACAAAGTCATCTATATCCCCCCCCCAATTTTAACACGTTATGGTCCCAAACCAGGTAACTGACCCAACATTTCTCTTAGCCCATGTCAAAATAGCTGCAATGGAAATTCTAAAATAAACATTTCTAAAACTCCTTAATATCAAATGGCACTAGTTCAGTATGCACTTTATATATAGACATGCAATGTTTGGCAAGGAAATATTTAACAGTTTATTTGTTATACTCCTTAAGTAAACCAATCCTATATTAAAACTTAAATCCAACTTGTTGTCATGGAAACATAAACAATAAAAATTTCTTAAAGTGCTATATATTACAGTTCAGTATGTGCCTGGTAGAGTAGACATGCAAAGTTTTGTAAGAAAGTATTTAACGGTTTTTGAGTTACGCTCTGGAAACGAACACCCCCCCTGTAGAACCTAAGTCCAACTTATTGCCATGGAAACATGAAAAATAAAAATTTCTAAAATTCCTAAATAGCAAGAGGCACCAGTCCAGTATGTGTCTGGTAAACATGCAAAGTTTTTGTTGGAAAGGATTGAATGGGTTTTGAGTTATGCTCCGGAAACAAACTCTACCCTATAGAACCTAAGTCCAACTTGTTGCCATGTAAACGTAAAAAATAAAAATTTCTAAAACTCCTCAATAGCAAAAGGCACCAGTTCAGTATGTGTCTGGTAAACATGCAAAGTTTTGTAAGAAATTATTTAACAGTTTTTGAGTTACGCTCCGGAAAGGAACAGCACCCTTATAGAACCTAAGTCCAACTTGTTGCAATGGAAACGTAAAAAATAAAAATTTATAAAATTCCTAAATAGCAAAAGGCACCAGTTCAGCATGAGTCTGATAGACATGCAAAGTTTCATAGAGAAATATAACAGTTTCTGAGTTATGCTCTGGAAACGATTTCGGGACGCACACATGCACGCACACACACACGGACGGAACCCTTTTCTATATCCCCCGCCAACTTCGTTGGGGCGGGGGATAAAAACCCTACACGTGTGTAATTGTCATAATGAATTAATTACATGTATACTTAGCGGTTCCCATTTGGCATTTCTCGTGTCTGGAGTAATTATTCAATCTTAGATTGGGTCATAAATCCAGGTCTGATGTGGTGAAATGTAATATTCATGTGATAGCGCAGCAAAAGGGGAATGATCTGTTGTTACACAAAAAAACATCGATCAAAGGATTAACCAATAATATGTTGATTAATCAATCACTCTTATCTTGCACAGTGGATTTGTCAAATGTAAGTGTTTAAATATGTAGATTTACTGAAGCGCACAGACTACAGCCAGGTGACGGGTTTGTTAACATCATAGTACTGTAGCGTGTTGGGCTCACAAATGTCTCTCTTTATACCATCCAGAGCTTGTTGGCGAGTAATGATTCCAGAGCCACTATACGTTGTTTTGTAGCAGTTCTCTCCGAGATGCTGCATTCTCACTGAGATAAGGAATAAACTTGGCAAGGTATGTAACCTTACCCAGAAATGGAACATCATTTGAAGTGGGCATTTCAATGATTGTGGTGTCATTCACAGGGTCTGGTTTGACTTCTTCTTCAGTTAACGATTGCTCAACATAACTGACTTCTGACACTTTGATGTGAAATTTGCCCTTTTTGAGTTCAAGCCAAATTTCTGCAGCTCTGTCCAGCACATTAATGGCATTCTTGTCATGCTCTTCATTTTCACCCCATATTATGATATCGTCCATGATACTCTCACATGGCAAACCACTGAATAGCATGTCTATGTTCTTCTGGAATGCCTCGCTTGCTGACAGGATACCAAATGGCATATGCAAGTAACGGTACCTAGCAAAAGATGTGTTGAAGGTGGTAAGCAGATAAGTCTCATGTGTCAGAGGTATCTGCCAGAACCCTTTCAAAGCGGACATTTTTGTAAAAATCCTGGTGATTATTTCCTCAATTGTATTCATTGGATATTGTTGTCTCTTCTGTGCACGGTTGACATCTTTGGGGACTATAAATATCTGTACACTGTCCGCAACCATTTTTCTTCGCCACTACCATTGCCGACACCCTATCAGTTGGTTTGTTAACTGGAGCTATCACTCCTCCTTCTGTTCACTCTACTTTTATCTCCCATGGGTACAGGAACTTGACGTCGAGGTCTGACTACCAGAGATACATCAGGATCAAGTTGCACATCATACAACACAGGTAAAGTTCCCAGTTAACCATCAAACAATTTGGGGTATTTGTCAATAATGTCCAGTTTGTCATTCTCCTTTAAGCTGTATAACCACTTTCACCATGCCAAAGATGGGTTTTGAATGCCAATAATGGGTTTAACTGGATTGTCAGTGTGGAAGACCAGTTTGTTCTTGAAGCCAATTTTCATGTTGCATGTGCCCAAAGTCATTATAGTGACGCCACTGTAAGCTACACGTTTGACTGCTCCAGGTTACACAAGATCTGGAAATCAGTTCTCATCACACTGCATTTAGCACCAGTGTCAACTTTGAAACTTGCTGGTTTGTCTTTGATAATGATTGTTGTAAGTGCTTCTGAAGGAATGCTTTCTATACCATCTATCTCCAGAGTGTCAATAAACAAACACTCATTTTCATCTTGTTCATGCCAGTCATCTTGAGATTCATGACTGCTAACTGGCTGTAGATCACAAATAGTTCAAGATCCTTGATACTTTGGTAGCCTAAATCTTGCATAAAATCTACCCTTGCCTCTTGAACATGATTTCCACTTTGAAAATCCACTGGCTGTGACTCTCTGTGCCCTGGCCTGGACTGGACTGAAACTTAAAGTGGTGACCTTTTTAGAAAATCCGGGCACTGGCCTTGTGAATGTTTCTGCCACAGTGTCTGCAGTCTCTCGTTTTGGAACTTCCTTGCATCAGACTTGATTTAAAACTTGGCTTCCTTTGACCCACAAAGTCAGCCTCAGTCCATATCTGTGTTATTTCTTGTACCCTTTTTTCTGATAGTTCATTGACATTACACAATTTCACTGCTTTAGTTAATGTGACGTCTGTCTCTGTCAATAACAACTTTCTCAAATTATCTGATGCTGTTCTGCACACAATTCGGTCTCTCAACATTTCATCCTTCAGAACTCTGATTACCGGTATACGTATTTGCTTTGTGCATAGGTCTGTGCAAAATGTAGGAAAATTCTCATCTGTCACTTGTGTACTTGTGTTGAACTCAAATCTTTCGATTGTTGTGTTTTTCTGTGGCAAACAGAGCTCTCCAAATTTTCTCTCCAGGCATTTACAAGATTCTTTAGATTCACCTTCACCATAAACAAATGTTTTTTCTTTCCCAATTGCTTGTCTGCCAGCAATGTTCAGAAACACATATGATAGGACCGTATAATTTTTGTCAGTGTGGACCGCTTCCACGAATACAAAAAAGTCAAGTCAAATTGTCACGAGTTGTCTTCGATGTCTCCTTTGAAGGATAAGGGTCCAGGTTTGATTAATGTTTCAGCCATCCCGTTTCTGACACCATGTTAGTTGCTGCGCCAACTTAGACATGAATAGACGTATGAGCATTTACTTTGGGTAGGTTATTTTAGCTATGGCTGTAATAGTGTTTGCCACTAATGAGGGCACATCTTCAACCATTACTGATTGTAATGAGGACATTGAATAAAGACCTCTGTGTTGCTTGTTGCACTCTGTATATTCTGTGTTTTTTTGATACACTGCTTTGGTCTTACAACATGGCAGCCACATGTCTTGTGAATGACGTCACATTATGACATCATATTCTTACAGCAATAACGATGATGTATTACAGGATCACACATTGACCTATGACCTGTGATATGACATCAATACTATTGTAAACACTACGCTGATGCAACCCCAAAAGATGCCTACAATTCCTTATTAACTCCAAAACAAAACTGTATTTAATTTTCTTTTATTGAAGAGACAATACGGCCTTATATAATTAATAAAAGCAACAAATGCGTTTACGATTGGCACAGCATAGGCAGACCACAAAGTTGCGACTAAAATGGTCGCCAATGCAACCAAAATTTCAATTTGTCTACTGACTAAAATTCAGGTCGCCAAATGCCTACCTTGAAAAATATCTTGTGGCGACTTAATTTTATTGCTTCTGAAGTTCACATACATGGACCCAAACATAAATAATTTGATTGACATTTGCGACGCTATTTTCTCGTTCGCAATTGAACGCATTTACCATACTCATCGTCTGTTTCATTAACATTCCCATAGCTCAGTGCAGCATTACGAGGGATTCAGTTACGTAAACTCTTTCAACACAGTAGACCGGTACACTGGCCAAGAAGCTACAAGTAACCAGACATCGTAGACCGGTAAACCGACCAAGCCGCAGTCACGTCAAAATAGTATATATAAATTTATGGACCTACCTGTCATAGCATGCATATATTAAATCTATCACATTTCACAATGTCTGAAATACGTATTCCATTTCAATGCATAATATTTTAGATAGATTGAAAAAAATATCCACTATTTCCCCCAATCTTATTGAAAATAGAATTCTCGGACACACACTTCAAGAACAGGTCCACATTGAACATGTCAAAGAGCAAAATAAAGACGTTTCAAGCAAATCTTTAAATATATTATACAAAGTAATAAAACAATCAACAAAAATAATTCTAAAAGTTGTCAAACGTACATCTAAGTTATTATTTCCATCTTTTTGTGCGATCGCATGTAACATAAGTCAAATTTCTCAGTTTGGACACGATGTTTGATGCCCAAAAATATTCATGAAAACTCTTTGTCACAGCTCCTAACCTAGCATGATACATCCATGAAGTTCCATATTTTTAATATAGACCGCAATTTCCTGCCTAAAAAAGTTAGGAATAACAAGATTTAACAACAAATCTTTCGTCAAAATCTGAAATTCATCACAGACGCGGACAGTACCATAGCTTTAATTTGATTGGCTGCCTCAGGTCACATGCTCAAATTTGACCAATCACAAACCTTGTAGCAGATTGACAAGAAAACGTCATTAGAAACCAATTATTTATCCAATACAATAGCATGTTACGACCGTGTAGATGAAAATAACAAGCTTTTTAGCGGTGTGTTATATGACAGTCTTCGACAAGTGTTATTTATACAAAGCTTCGAAAATGGAGGTATTTCTTCATCTTACCGAGCTCCTTTAGCGGGAAATAAATTATTTAATTGTTGCTAAATTAACAAAAGAGTGAACCTGGAACAATTTTCATTGCATAATGAAACTGTTACACCATTTACAATACCGGTTATCGCTTTCAATGTCTTATCACTTTGAAGGGATTCAGTTATGATCTTAACCCACCTTGTCGAAGACCTATAGAAATCTGTTGATGGCAGATTGTTATACTATTTTATTTTAGTTGACAATGATCATTGGATAAGCAAGGACATACCTATGTCATCTAGTAAAATAAATTGCATCATTGTTAGAGTCACATTAATACAAATAACAAAAATCAAGTACAGTTTCCACTAATATACAATTTCAAGCCTAGTGCTATGACTTATATATATATTATTATAATTATTTGAAAATAAAATTTCTAAATGTTTTGGGCTACCTAATATTTTGGCTTGTCTTGTTGATTTTACAAGTGGCTACCTGGAAAAAAAGTACTTGAAGCCACATGGCTACTAGTTCAAAAATCAAACTTTGAGGCCTGATAGATAGCAATTTAGTCAAGATTTCTGGGATAACATCCAGGTATCCAGAGGGAAGAAACAATCACAAAGGCAATAACCAGTCCTGAGGAATTGTTAGAGTTCAGTGCCCCTTTAACAGCAATGTCCTACAGAACTCGGTGACAGTGGGCAAATCTTTTCATTAGTATTTTAACTGATTGTGAATATTTCCACTGAATACATTTTGTCCAAAACAAAACGGATTTCTGCTGACATTTTGATTCTATTGAATATCACTGGGCTCAGTGTTAAATGAAGACCTTGGACAGGTAACTAATTGGACAGGGCTGGCTGCAGGAGTTGCCTGCCTTGTGGTTTGGTATACAGGACCATGCAACTCATATATATAAAAAATCATAATAAGTTTACTTGTTATTGTTATTATCATCATTAGTTACATAGTCCTGTTCGGTTGGAGATTTGGATGAATTTCATACACTGTCATTGCATGTATTTTGATAAAATTCATTAGTCAACCAATACTTTTCGTAGTAAAACCACTCAGATTTATCTATGATATTCAATTTCTACAATGAGCACGAGTGAGCCAACACATAGATATTATTTTAGCATGAGTACGGGTCAGCAAACGTTTGAAACATGTCACTGTCTGACAAAAGTTGTGAATGAGTCAAAGATGATCCATTTTGACACATGTATTGATGATATAAATATATAACTGGCCGTTCACATGAATCTACAAATAGGCTACACATTACTTTTCCTCTACCGATAGCACGAAATGCCATTCCTGACAAGCTCGCCGTGACTGGATGCCGCACAACCTTCGCAAGAGCTCCCTTCTGTGATAGCATGTTTCCTCTGCACATACATAGCGCATTAGCAACAGCCTCACGCGCTGAGATGGAGCTTACCCCTCACCTTCAAAATTAAACTGGTTCCATTGTTGGGACGCGACGCATGCAAAGCACTAGACTGGTTCCCGGATTCCCGCTTGGTCATTCGTAACCACTCGCATTTTCCCGTAACCTGCAACACTCATTCGTCACCACTCGCCCCTTACCGTACCCGGCTTGTCCCGGAATAACACGAGTTGGTCACGAATGTATGAACACGCGAACTACTTGATCGAAAACCTTATCTCACTCCGGCGCAGTGGTGAATCAGCATTACACCACTGCCACAGGCTAATTTACATATTACGTGACCGGACTTTTCTCTTGTTTGTAAACAAACGCACTTTTTCATAAATCAGTATAGAACGGCCCAATGCAAGTATTTGGGGACGCTTAACATATTGTTTTGCACAATTAAACAAATATGCTACTACAGCTGCGACAGTGCATGCCAAAATATATTTATACATCAAAGTGACCGTATCGCTAGCTCTCCGTTGGGCTTCGATGACAACACGTGGAGCCGTACGTGTTCATAGAATAAGAGCCTGTCACATTCCAAGCCTCTCAGGAAAACGGCACCTCTATTTCTAATAACGATAAGAACGATTTATGTAGTAGTATATCTGATTTATGTTATTTGTAACATATTATTTGATGTATTTACATGTTATTTCCTGTTTTCCAGTTGTTCACAGATAACTACATACATTCACATATATACAATATATATTTTAAGGCTGCTGTCAATACACTGAGAGGAAAGGCCATGCGAGCATGGTATAAGATCAAAAGTTCACTGAAATCAACTTCTCATCTCCCAGCAGACATTCTCATTCGCTTGTATAATGTCTTAATTGTACCCATTGCGTCATATGGAGCCGAGGTATGGGGCTGCAGTCTTCTAAGACCCTCGCATGAAATGTATCATAACTGGTCTAAACAACTATGTAAAGAGATCACTATCAAAATAGCAAAGCAGATTCTAGGAGTACCAAAAAAGTCGAGTAATATTATATGCCTCAGTGAATTAGGAATGTACCCTCTTACTTTACAAATATATATGTCCATGTATAGATATTACCATCGCCTGAGAGGCTTGGAATGTGACAGGCTCTTATTCGATGCGTACCAGGAGGATATTCTCTTGGCCTCACAAAAAATGTCCTGGACATCCTCTATCAAATATATGATGGCACACCTACTTCCGAAATCCAACAGTGAAAATGCCCCTTGCTCAAAATTCTATGAAGCTCTTCAAACAAAATTTAGAAATATATTTCTCATTGAAAGCGACCAAGTAAACACTGATAACTCCCACAAACCTAGGCATCTAGGACTTATTAAAGATAAATTTGAACATAAGAAGTATGTTTCAGCTGTAAAATGTAAAGATCATAGATAAGCTTTAACCAAATTAAGACTCAGTTGCCATAATCTGGAGATTGAAAGAGGCCGATACACTAACACGCCTGTCGACCAGAGAATATGTAAATTATGTAACCTAAATAAGATAGAAGATGAAAAACACTTCCTTTTGTACTGTCCAAATTATCAGAATGAAAGGCAGATACTTCTTCGAACACTAGACTTACAAAACTGCCAAAATGATAATAAAATCTTAGTAAATATCCTGAACCCCTGTCCTGAAAGAGCAAAATATGTTTCACAAATTATCTCCGACATGTTTATTAAAAGAACCTCTCTTATAGACAACATCTAGATATGACCTTATGATTATTATGTCTTATCTATACAGTATCAGCATCATAAAAGTACACGCTGCCAGCCACCTCATGATATATATACATGTTTATACACTATGAATGAAAATTATATGTAATATTTATATATATAATGTGCATTATGTATATCTACCTTTATTGTTGATAGTTATATTTATGTCCACATGTAGATAGTTTGTACCCTACCCTACGAGGGTGTTCTGTACAATAAATATTCTTGATTCTTGATTCTATATACAGTTCTTCACAGTTTTCATCTTCATCACAGTTAACAATATCGGCCCATGTGCCACCGAGCATTGTGATAGTAGCTGACTCAGGGGGCTAATTTCTAATGTAAACTTGTTTTAACTTTTCACAGTTATTGGTGTTTGTAAGAGACAATGTAAGTTTAATTTCATTTATTTTACTTCAAAGCATATACTGTTTTCACAATAAGTTAGTTGCGCCTCCCAATCAGAGTCGGCGAGTAAATTGGAGTAGGGGGCTAATTTCTACTGTAAACTTGTTTAAACATTTCACTATTATTAGTGTTTGTAAGAGACGATGTGAGTTTAATTTCATTTATTTTACTTCAAGGCATTTTATGTTTTCAGAATAAGTTGAGTTGCGTATAGGCTAAGTTGGAATATAGTTGGAGTAGAGGGTAAATTCTAATGTAAACTAAACTAATGTCCAAAAGAAACGATACCACACATTTTTCTAAATATTTTATTATGAAGAGTTATTTTTCGTCTGAAAAGGTACTTTTGCGTATCCTACGTTCCAAACCAAACGTATTCGGTCGATAAAACCGGGAACATTTGATCAATTGAGAACAAAGCGTGCAATTTGCCCAAATGACGTTCCGTCCCGTAACACGAAATGCACGTGCATATCTTCTGTATAAAACTGCTGACCCGACACGTTGGGATCACAGCAACAAAAAGCACACAAAAGAAATGCCACGTTTGACAGCGATTGAGAGAGAGAGAGAGACGTAGGAATGCTCTAACAGGGAGCTACGCACCGCGACGTCGCCAGAAGATTAGGATGCGCGCGCATAACCGTCACCAGGTTAATGCAGCGGTTGCGTCAAACAGGTCGGACAGCAGACAGGCCGAGAACCGGGAGACCACGGGTGACCACGCCTATTGAAGACCGCCACATCCGGGTACTTCACCTTCGGAACCGCTTCGAAACGGCGACGTTAACGGCACGGACGGCACTGGGATACGTGATAAGTCGACAAACCGTGTACAGGAGACTGCGGGCACATAGTATCCGAGCACGTCGCCCCTACCGCGGAGCGTTCCTGACACCTCAACACCGACCCAACAGACGGATATGGGCCAGGCGACTTCAACGGTGGAATTTGGGCACGTGTCATGTTTTCTGACGAAAGCAGATTTTGCATCTTCAGGAACGACGGCCGGCAGCGTGTGTACCTAAGAGTAGGTGAACGTTTGGCACCGAACTGCATCCATCAAGTCAGGCCATATTGAGGCGGAGGTTTAATGGTTTGGGGTGGAATCTGCGGTGACGTCAAAACGAGACTCGTCGTTATTCGAGGAAACCTGAATGCGCAGCGTTATCGTGATGACATCTTACAACCAGTTGGGGTGCCATTCATCCAACCACAGCCTAATGGTATCATTTTCCAGCACGATAATGCGAGGCATAACACGGCAAGGCTGACCCAGAACTTCTTAGAAAACGCCAACATTCACGTTTTACCATGGCCGGCATGTGGTTTAAACATATTTTTATTCATTGAAATGAGTTTGGATTGGTGAACAAGCTTTGCAGCTTATGTTAACACCACTCCTATACAACATATATTACATATTGAAATGAAGGATGTGACGTCATCGATATAGACATTATTTCAATAATATGTCTATACATATTACATCAAATACAAAAACATAAATAGAAAGTTACAGCTTGTGTGTGTCTAACAAGTCGTTTTTAACAAAAGTAATAGTCAATCATGAGGTTATTGCCCGGGTTTATTTAATTATTAATTTGTGAGGAGCTGAAACGTTTTGTCTTGATGATGAAATCGTGGACGGATTCAACTAATTTCTGGTTTTCAGAGTGAGCAAGTTCATTGTTTCCGTTCATAATAGTATCCAGGTTATAACCGGTAGTGTAAAAGTGCATATTAAGTCTTATCTGAGTAAAGTTACAGCAAGTAAAAAAATAATTTATGGGCGTTTTCACTCTGATATCCACAGGAGCAACACGGACTGTCAATTAAATGTCTGTTATAATACTTATCGGCGTTTAGGTCGCTACAACCGAGTCTGAGGCGGCAGTGAACGATTTGACAGAATCGAGTGCCATAGCTAAGGTCAAAATAAGTCTTATTTTCGGTTTTCGTAATTAGGTTTTTAAATTCTGACAGACTACTTGACTCTTTGGACTTTGGTAGAGCACTCCATAAGTGTATTGTGTCTGGTAAAAAGGATTTGGCGTAAGAGGAAGTACGGCTATAAATTCCTTGTATTTCAGAACTGTTTCTTAAATTATAGTTTGTAGTTTCGGAGACAAAGTTTGGGATTAAATCACAAAGATAGTTTTGGAATTGGTTGTTATAGGAATCGCCCTGTGCCTCCGTTAACCTCCAGGAATTGGAACAATGCCTCCTCCATGAATGGCAACGCATCCCCCCAACGTCATCAGACGTCTGACGTGTACTAGCGTGTATTGACGCTCACGGTGGACATACCCGTTACTAACGTGACTTTGAGACGTGTGTTGTGACATTTTGTTTCTGTTAAAACATTACTCACAAGTCATATACCAATTTGAAATGCCTGTATCGTTTAGTTTTTTTGTAATGTCCTTTCAAACATGTGGTATCGTTTCTTTTGGACATTAGTTTAGTTGTAACATTTCACAATTATTGGTGTTTGCAAGCGACCATGTTAGTTTAATATCATTTATTTTATCAAGGTTAACAAAAAATAGGGTGCCGTTTTCGACAGGCAATAGTAGCCGTTTTATCCTGAGGCGAGGTGACGTTTTCGCCAATCGGTACCGTTTTCGCCAGGTGACGTTTTGCTGAGGTGCCGTTTTAGCTATAACCCTACCCAAATCTGTATGTGATTTTCTTTCCATCACATTTTTTACACAATTTTGGCTCAGTTGGTTCAAAATGTACAGGTATTTTTCTTATTATTGACATAGTACAAGAGCTCAAGGGGCTTACTGTGGGGCCTCTCAAAACAAAGCAATTAACTAAGGTTTAACCAGTTTGACTGGTCTTTTTTCACAACATGTCAAGATG